ATACCCTTGTCTTCAGATTTTCTGTCCTTTGTTAAGTACGAATCACTTGGCTGTTACAAAGACAAAGACAATGGTGTAAGAGCTATTCCATCCATGGAAGGAAGCGACGTTCTTCTCAAAGATAGCTATTCACAGAGAAATCATGCTATTCAAAAGTGCGCTGTGGCAGCCTTGACACGGGGATATAAAATGTTTGCAATTCAAGATGGCGGCATGTGTGTTGGTAGCCCCAATGCACACAAGGTGTATGGCAAGTACGGTAAATCACAGGATTGTAAGAATGACGGAAAAGGAGGAGCCGGGGCTAATCAGGTTTACAATCTGACAGGAACCATGGAAGGTACAGTGACAAGGATATTGTAAACTTGTAAACTGACAGCTGACCTGCTGATTTTTTGTAATTCATCATCTTTACTTCTTAGAGGTTTGTTTTAAATAAGAAATAAATAATACCGAAAGTCTTCGACTTATTGTCATCATCGTGGGGAAGCAAAAAACATCCCAGGGATATAATAATACTTCTCTTGTTTTTTTGTCATTCACAGACATTCTTTCGCCATTTTCATATTATGATTTGCGAAGGCTTGGATGTTTCCATGACTCACAAGCTCGTGCCATCCCTAGCCTAGAAGGACAGGACCCTGTGCTAGATGGCGACCACACTACAAGACGAGATGCCGTAAGGAAGTGTGCTCTCGCAGCCAAGAAGCGGGAACATAAAGTGTATGTTGTTATGTCCAACGGGCAGTGCTCCAGTGGCGCCGATACTGCAAAGAATTTTGCCAGGTTTGGCCACGGCGAGAATGGCTGCTCAGCAATGAAAGATATCCACAGAGTGTATAATTATGATTATGACAGCGTTGATGGTATGATAGATGGTTGTATTTTGAATAAGCATGAATAACTATTTGAACATATCGAGTGAAAAGCTACGCAATTGTTGAATTAAATCAGGGGAAAAAAGTCTGCTATAAGATTGAATTTTACTTTTTTTTTTTTTTTTTTTGAGTAAAAACAACCCAAACATTGGAATGACGTTTCCGTGTCATCTTGGCATGGACAATAGAAAAATTAAATTTATTAAGATGGAATATATTAAGACAGAATAATTTATCACTGTTTATCAAGTTGCGATGTTGAACAGTGAAGAATAACATTTAACCACGTGCGGTCAAAACAATAAATTGAAACATAAAGTCGATTTTAAAAAGCTGATGGGAGATGATCGACCAAGAATTCTGGAAACTATTTGTTAAGCATAAATATCACGAGTTGGCGTAAAATTGTTTTGATTAGTAATAGTAATTGGGCCGGGTGGAGTAAAATTCAGGGAGTAATCACACTCCCTGAATTCTATCACACGAGGTCCAATTATTGATTAATTGTATCTATAACAAATTTTGTGAACTTGCGAAAAAGTCAGTAGCGCTTTCCATAGGTTTTAAACACTGTAGGAAACATTAAGAAGGAAGCAATTAAAGCTCATGTAATTGACGCGTGAATGGAATAGGTATTCAATTTCAGGTATCCAGTTAAAAAGTTGTAATAGGATACCTGTAATTGAACACCCACGTGACCTCGAGCCAATTACGTCAGAAATCGAAAAATATTGTTGTTATAGATACGATCATTATTTAAATCGCCCTTAATGATTTATATGCCGGAGATAATGCACACTGCAAATTAATGGCTGATTTGTTTTCTGTCTTGCAGTCCTGCTACCATATATGGAGTATGAGTCTGTTGGATGCTTCAAAGACTCAAGTGAACGAGCTATTGAGAGCGTGGAGGGATTTCATCGCTATTTTCCAAGTGTATCTCTACTATTCTATGATTACAAAACACGACAACAAGCAATCCAGAAATGCGCTGTATTTGCAAAGCTAAAAGGGTACAAGATGTTTGGAATTCAAGATGGCGGTTTTTGTGTTACCAGTGCCAGCGCTCATGAAACATACAACAAATACGGTGAATCAAAAGATTGTAAAAGCGATGAGAAGTGCTGTGGAGACTGTTTTTGGCAAAATTTTTAACAATTTCCAAAGTAGGAAATGTTAATATCAGTACATGATCACTGTGTTGTTGACCACAGCACTTGCAGTAAATAATAAATTTTAAACTGACAGATAATTCAAATGACCTTCATAGCACTGTTCTGGGTAAAGAGCTCTCTCTAGTTTACACAAGTTACATTGAACTTTAAACTTCAGCAGAGGTGTGATATGACGACATGCAACGAAGGCAGGTCAGGACCATGAGCTATTCATTCATTGCTAATTGACCGTGCCTATCATTCACAATCTTCCAGTTTACTATATGCTTGTTAAAAAGGGACAAAACAACAAGATCATTATTTATATGACAAGACAGTGATATATACATCAAGATTCGTGTATATACATCAAATTCATATATATACAACAAGATTTGCATATACACATCAAGATTCGTCAGCTTAAATACTAATCAAGCATTGTAAATGTACAGGAACATTAAAATTCGTCTATGTACACTAAGATTTGTGCACATTCATCGAGACCCGGGCATACAATGAAGATCTGTACATACATTAACATTTTTGTATATATTAAGATTTGTGCACTTCGGAAAGCGTGACCGCTGGATCGATTATAGTGTTTTCAAACGGCGACCGAAAAATGACAGCAAACATCAGCGAATTCGTCGCTGCCAAACGAGGAAAAAATCTCCTCCTTGGCTCGCCGTGTTTACAGAGCCATGACAGGAAAAGTGCCTCGTGAAAGGTCACGAGTCAGTGGAGGTAACTCCAGCAATGTTGAAGAAGAGTTGAGGAGAAATTTTCAAATTCCCCGTGTTGTCGCACAGCAGCCTCCGTTGTACAATCCACGAGTGAATTATGGGAGCAGTGGTAGTAGTGGAAAGAAAGGGAAATTAAGATCAAGTTCCTGGAAAGGAAAGTCAGCGAAAGAAAGTCCGCATCCGTATCTCTTGTAAAGAATTGGTGCTGTTGCCAGCTTCTAATGTTGATGAAGTTCCACGCTTTGCCAAAAAACGAAAGCCTCTGGGACGGGGTCTGTACATAGACGAATTTTAATTCTAATGCTTGATTAGTATTTAAGCTGACGAATCTTGATATATATACACAAATCTTGATGTATATTTAACGAATAAAAAAGCCTCGACTATGCTCTGTTCTGTTGTAAAGCACGCAGGAAAGCGGTAGAGCACGAGAGAAGTGTAGGGGAAAACACAAGACGTAGTCGAGTGTTTTTCCCTTCTGCTTGAGTGCTCTATCGCTTCCTAAGTACTTTACAACAGAACAGAGCACAGTCGAGGCTTCTTTATTTTTTTTATGATAAAGAATCCGACAATTTCCCCACGCATTCGGCTGAATTTTCAAACCAAACTTCATTTCCAAACGAGTAAAAGTGGCGTCAGCCGTGCACTGTTCTCTGATAAAGCTCGCTAAACTAAGCCAATCACAATCTTTGCTACAACTGTTCAAATAATTTGATTGGCTAAGGAAGCGACAGCTGTCAATCACAAACTGGACTTCAGCTATGCTTTCAGTCTCGAGTAGTTTGAGCGGCTTTCGAGAGAAGAACGATGCCTTCAAAGTTCGCTTTTTAGTTAATTTTTAAATACGGATCTATAGGCAGGTAAAGATTTATAGTCCGGAGGAATCCGGCCGTGTTGTGGCCCATGAAAACGTGCACTTTTCCAGTGGAAATTACGAAACGAGGAGCTCAAAGCTTTCGGATGAAAATGCGAAATGTCGAGTTGAATTTGAAAGGAGCTACAGTTATTTACGGCTTGTAGCCGCATGCAGCAAAATTGCCCGAACTAACGTAAAAGTTAGAAAGACTAAGCTGCTCCCACTGGTTCCACTCCGAGCACAGAAGAGAATGTCAGAGAAAGCTTTGCACTGACCACTCGTCGGTTCACTTCGCTGAGATTGTTTCGTTGATCAAATAGGCGTTGCCTCTTAATTGACAGATTTATTTGATGCCAAGAATAGTGATTGACATAAATTATATATGTACATGGATTTAAAGGCGTTAGGTTATTGTGTTTCAAACCAGTTTTTCAGTATAATCGAAGTGAGAAAGAAGTTGTTTTAGTCTGTCTGTTAAAGCCGCTCACCTGGAGAATCTGTTAAAGACTCAGTGCTAACCTGTAAAGTGCGACTGTTGTAACTACCCGCCACAGAAGTAAGTTGAAATTCAAGTTTTCTAAATTTAGCTTCGAGATAAAGATTTATTTGTGTTTGGTCTGATTGCGAATTATAAATGTATTTCTTTTAGATCGAATAATTATTAAACCTTGGCTTGATGTTATGCGGTTTAGGGTGGTCTTTTGAGCTAGCTAGTTCCATGTGCAACAGAGATGACCGGAGAACAAGCGTTACTACACTGCATGTAAGTGTTGTTTGAGCAGTGGAGCATTTTTACAAAAATAAAGCTTCTCATCATTAACAGAGACAGTTCAATTGTTGTTTTTTGTCGTTTTTTTACTTCTTAAGTATAATTTCTGCCTTCGTAACAAATGTAATGTCTTTTATCGAAGCACTGTTTAGATTGAGAATTTGTCTATTTCGCTACTCCGTGTTTTGTCGACGGGAATCTAGCAAAACTTGTTATTTTAGTACAGTTTTAACACTACTGTTGCTAACAATGGTCTCTGTGAGCCACATTTACTGCAGACAAATAGCTCGTTTCCATTGCGTTTGTCTGAGTCACAAGGGATGTTTAATTTGGATCAAATTTGTCAAAATTCTGAAGCAAAAATTTGAAAGCCAGCTTATCGTCATCAACCCGTGCTCTGTTCTCTGATAAAGCACGCTGTTCCAGCCAATGTTTATATACGAATCTTGATGTATATATCATTGTCTTCACATATAAATAATGATCTTGTTGTTTTGTCCCTTTTTAACAAGCATATTACTAATTTATAAGTTTCCAGAATATGGTTTTTGTGCNCAGAAGTAAGTTGAAATTCAAGTTTTCTGAATTTAGCTTCGAGATAAAGATTTATTTGTGTTTGTTCTGACTGCGAATTATAAATGTATTTCTTTTAGATCGAATAATTATCAAACCTTGGCTTGATATTATGCTGTTTGTGGTGGTCTTTTGAGCTAGCCAGGTAGGCAACTCGGTAGAGTCATGATTGGGTTTGATTTCCTTTCTGATTGGATGACAATGTGGTGCGGGTTGTTTCGGCTAAGTCAATAGTTGTTATTACAGCGGTTGGACGTGCAAACGAGGCGAAAGGGTCAATTTTGCTTTGTATTGACCCGTTCGCCTCGTTTGTATCCCTCTTTAAACGAAGAAACATATGACCGCAGGCTCAACTGCAATAAGAGCTATTGCACTGCGTAGAGATGCAAAGCCAGAGCATATGCGAATCACTTTCAACACTCAAGTAAAAATATTGCTTTTTATCGTGCCATCAACTTCTTCATAAGCGGCAATATGCACGTCATTGCAGGCCGCCATGAGGGTGGCAAAGGTGGGGTACCAATCACGCATCACGCTGAATTTTCCTATTAAATCAAGCAGCACGGATAATTTTTTTCACCAATTACGCGTCACGTAAAAAGAAGTAAGTACATCGCCAATATTACTTTCTCGACCCACGCGAGTCAAAAGCGTCGCTAAAAGAAGAACTTTGCCGATTCAACCACAAAAATACATCGGCAAACAATTGTGACCTCTCACGCGAAAACGTTCCTTACGGTATCCATTCGAACGGCTGAACGCACAGCAAGTGAACCAGCCTGCGAACAGGCTCCCAGCGAGGGCGGAAAAAAACATATGAGGGGGGGG